ACACCCTTAACCATGGACAGTAGTGCCAGGGAACCAGCCATTGTGACAAACACCTCGAGGCAGACACCCCCTCCGTGGCAATCCTCCATCTCTTGTGCAACAACACATGCACACTCAAACAGAAGGGACATACTGTACATGTGCAGCTCAAAACACGATGAGCTTTTGTAGCAATCCTCTTCTTCCTTTTATCCTTTTTACATCACTTAGAAAGATTCATCTACAAATGAATTAAATGCATGTTAAATGACACACTGGTGCTATGAATACAAATACAATCTTCATAGTCTGGCTGAGATCTATATCATCAGTTCCTTTGGTCTGGTGAACAGAGATATAATGGGTACACGTACATATCTGAGTGTGATACGATTCCAGTTCCAGGGTGTCTTGTGAAAACCAAGTGAACACATGACAGCCGGAGCACCTGCTCCCGCCTCTGAAGATAAGGAGGATGTAATGTGTCCGCACTTTTAGCCCACACACACACTCGTACATACAAAGTAAACAGCGCACCAGAGAGTGAGATGAATACAGAGTGGAAGAGAGTCATTCAAAGCGGATAGTGGGATGCAGATGAGACGCCTTCACCGGACTGAAAGAGAGTCAGTAAGAGAGAAAAAGAGATGGATAGATGGAGTGGAATGCCAGAATGATGGCGCTAAAAGGGAATGCAGATCAATTTAACTATTCATATTTTGTGTAACCATCATTAATGAAATATCTTAGGGTTTAAAACTTATGTAAGAAAGTCTGTCCATCAGAAACTTTTCTTTTTTTCTCTGTCTCGAATGGCTACTTCTGTTCTTCATCTTCTTCTAATATACTAAATAAACCACTGTGCCTTAGCAATACAACACACAGGATCATTGGATTTACCTTCAACATTCCTCTTCTTTACCGTTGGTTGTGTTGAATATTTCATCCCTTCATTGTACAGATTGCATGAACTCACTAGGATTGGGATGGTTACTTTAAACATGTAATTTATTGCAATAGCTAGTTACCTGTGAAACTAATGTAATAAATTACCTAATCTTAGTATCACAATATGCATGTAGTGTAATCTGATTCCTCAATATCAAATGCAATCCCAATAAATACAATGGAATGGAAATACCAATACTTAAGTGTATTATGTAGGCCGAAAGAGCAACAAAAAATAAACTAAGAAAGGAAGTAAGATTTTTTTATATAAATATATTTTCTTTTTCTTTAAAACCCTCCTCTTGTCTTCGGGTCAAATCTGATCGATTTACTGCTTTCATCAATCATAACTTTTTTTGTTCTACATTCGATTGCATTACGGCTTTATGATATCCTTCACAGTAGACATTTGAACTTATCAAATTGCTGATCACCACTCACATTGCATTTTGGATGATTTAGTCAACTTTGTAACACCATGGTGTTCCTGGTCAAACATGACCGCCATAAAGAACAGGAGTTAGTAACCATCCGGATCAGATCAAACACACGTACGCACGCACGCACGCACGCACGCACGCACGCACGCACGCACACACACACACACACACACACACACACACACTCTAAATGAGTCCCCCCTCCCCCTTATGTGCCCAATCCCTCCATGTGAATCACACCTGGCACTCACAAACACACACACACACACACACACACCACACACACACACACACACACACACACACACACACACTCACAAACACACACACACACACACACACACACACACAGACACACACACACAGACACACAAACACACAGAACAATTTGACACATGTCCCGCTCTTATGTGCCCATCCCCCCACATGGATCACACCTGGCACACGCAATACATGTTCAGTGTCTATTCTTGGTATATGTACTGCAGTTCTTCATGTATACCAGTAGTCTGATACAATATGTACAGTTTGAAAGGGTGTTAAATGACATTTGGGGATGATTAATGGTTTTTGTGTTAATGTAATAGCAGTTAAAACAGGATTGGTAAAACAAAACTACTTTTTTAAAGAATGTTCAGGCAGAGGTGTACTGTATAGACAACCAGTAAAAGTAAAGTTTAAAAAAATACAAAACATATGTGCAAACAGAAAATGCTCCATAGAGTAATCTCTGAGTCTTCATGTTTTTAAAAGTCTATACATTAAGCAACAAGGTTTTTTTTCTGCCATTTTAGGAGAGCATAGATGAAGACATTTAAGAGTCTTAATAATCTCATTCCGTACCTGTTGACATCTGCAAACCACACCTAAGCTCATACATTTAATATTGTTATTTCTTTACCCTTTATTTGGTGCATCTTTTCTAGAGTTTTGTGACATTTGTAACGTTATCAAAAATTAGTATGGAAGCAGAATCATTTTACTTTGAGATTTCTGACCATTTACATATTGCTTTTATTGAGAGGAGAGAGAGTAGTAAGATAGAAATAGTAAATGAATGAGTAAAGACGGTCTTCCTGGTTGAACTTGCGCTGAGCTTCATATGTAGCAAATGTTCAGAGGCCCAGTACAGGATCTGTTGCCTCGTGAAAAGAGTTTTCATATCTTCCACAAATGTTCATTTTAGCAAGTGAGCAAATATCTTGTTTAACGTCATCACTTTATTCCTTAGTCCAAAACAATAAGAGACACAACTTTGTTTCCAAAGCATTTACATACACAACAATAGCAGAATAGTGCATCTTACCGTGGTTATGATAATGAGCTTTAGCAATGAAAGAGAATCATTTGAGTCTTATAATTAAAACTACGTTACCATAGAGTTGGTCAAGTTCTGTATATATCTGGTTTTGCTTTTCAGATGATTTCCACCCTAAGTGGCAAAGCATCAACATAATATCTTTTTGAATTGGACTGGTGTCTTACTTGAATAGTCTTAGGAGCTTTACAATTAAGTGAATACATTCCTTACTCTCTCTAAAGTTTCTGATTAAACCGATCTTCGAGGACTTTGAGGACCACTTTTCAGTGTAATTATGATTGAGAATACTTCAGTTCAGTTTCAGGTTTTTTATAACTCAACTGCTATGCTCGCCTTCACCTCCACTTCACAACCGCTGTCTGCCTTTAAGCTTTCCAATTTAGCAAAGAGACTTCATTGTACTTTACTTTATTTAGGGTCCCCATCGATACAGCAGTAACAAGTATTCTTCCTTGATTTCACATGAAAGACACCATCGGGCAGTGAAACATTGACAACATTTCACAAATTGGGGACATAAAACACCCATGGTTTTGTATGTCTCTCATGTATTGCTTTAGCAATTGGTTTCTGCTCTTTCTTTGTTCAAAGGGTAAGAAGTCATTGTCAGTTCAAGTGAAGTTATAACAAAGATTACTACTGTAAAGCCTGAAACATTGTTCTTAACCAACCATTTAGCAAGGTCTATAGTTTCAAAATGACCAACACTCTAGAAGGATTGTACTGACGATTATTTATGATGATCAAATTCCAGACTGGATTGGGTCTGAACCTTTTTGAACATCACATCACATATAAAAGTCTGACAGAGATATCATCTCTGCTCTATTGATATCAGTCACTGACGCAGATCTGGAATATTTTGTATTTATTTTGTTGCCATTTTCACCTCTCATTAGATACATTGACAGTGAGATATGAGGACAGGAAACACATCGGCTGCATGAACATATTATTACACTACAATCAATCGGCAGAAGCCTTTGTCAGAAGTAGCATGCATATGAAAATGATTTTAGGCTTAGTGCACTGCTGAAGGGCGTTTGAACCAGTGGAGCAAGGGATTGAACCACCAACCTTACATTTCATGGTCAACATCATTCTGCCCCCCTGGGCTAAGGCCGCCTCTGGTGTTCCAAACATGTTGGCTTTTCTTCAGAGTTGAATCTATACAACCTGGTATATGTGATTCAAAAGCCCCGCTGATCATCCCGTTGGGGTTTATTTCGCTATATTGAACAGCTTCCATATTATCACTTAGTACATGGCTAATTACTAAATAAATCAATCATTTGACATATTGTATAAACATGATTTTATTTATTTAAAAATAAACATTTAGTTTCTGGTTCGAAAACAGTTGGAACGGTGGCGAAAGCAAAGTAACTTAAAATGACGGCAGCACTGATGGAGGTTTTCTGTAACTGTTTAAGTGTGTTCACATATTCTTTTTCATTCACCAGCTTTTAAACACTGCCAGACTACATACTGTGTTCCTGTTAGTCTTTACTTCAGGTCTGTCTTCTTCCGCTGGTCTTTTAAACTTGTTCCTTCTCTTGTGCTCTTTGGTTCTTCTTTTTCTTTTCTCTACTGAGGACACTTAAGCCAACATAAAACCAAAGTGTCCTGCGCTCCACAAACATAAAGCAAATGTTGCAAATGAACAAGTCAGCCACAGCGGATGAAACTGTCCAGACTACGGATTGATATGACTGCACCACACCTACAGCAAGTCTGGTCTTTTTTGACTGTCCAAATTGACACAATCAAGTATTCCACTAAGCCATGTAATAATGGAATGACTACATACATAACAGTTGTTTTCCTCTTACAAACTTAGTTACACAGATATTAGGACATACATCAGTTCACATTACAATGCTATGCCAACTAAAACACTGAGTACTGCCTCTAGTTATAGAAGTTAAAATGTAAGACCAAATAAAAGAAAAAGGAACTTGGTGATGTTTGAGGACACTCGGATATCTGAGAACAAATTGAAAGACCAAACAGAAGGCCACAAAATGGAAACCCTAACACAAGATGTTGATTTAGCCAAGAAATAGTCAATCCATGTTCAAACAGCTTCAGCACCATACCCAATAATACATCAGACTGGATGTAATATTATTGAATATCTTAACACATGGTGAGCCCATTTTAAGAGTGGCAGTTATTATTGCGACTTTAAATACTAATGCAAATGAGTCACCAGTAATCCCTTAAATCCCATCAGTGAATCCCCAAGTATATACTAATGTTCTATCAATAACAGCTGACTAAGTGAGTGTTCTCCTTTTGCTTTTCTGCAGGTTTGATCCGCCTTCGCTCCAGCCCGCCCCCCCACCTCCAGGGTGTTGAATACGTCCTCAATGTCACGGCAACCGATGACAACTCCTCAGGCGGACCTCAGGCCTTGTCGTCCACAGCCCAGGTCATAGTGGGAGTGGACGATGTGAACAACAACAAGCCGGTGTTTGAGAAGGTAAGACAGTAAACTGGCTCCATCACACCTGTTTTAGTCCTGCCCATTAGTCTGCTCTGCTGGTTGCCATGGTATTCATTGCTCTTCTTGATGGAATTGACTTCTCACTTTATCCTTTTCTTCCACGGTTCTTCCTATCTATACCCATGTACCTCCATCACTCTGACTCCTTCTCTTTGTCTGTCAACGTCCTCTATTCATTAGCCTCCTCTCTGGTGGAGCGATTAGCCGACTTGACCCACGTCTCTGCTCTCTCGTCTCCCTCCCACATCATCGTGGTCTTTTAATTAAAGCTTTAAGGGATGTGGGAGAAATCCCGACCGACCCATTCTGGAAGTGTTACGTCTCCACCTTTTCTTCTAGCCATGTCTCAATTCTAAATGAGGTGACTTTTCTAACCCCCCTGAGGTATCGCAAGCCAACATTACGAGCGTCGGCTTGCCGAGTAAATCCCGCGCACTCTCTCCTGGGGGTTAACGAGCGCCAAGTGTCTCCCTCCCGGCTTCACCTCATAGTGGGAAGAAAACTGAGGGACGGGAGACAAAATGAAAACCAGGAGGAAAAGGGAATCCTGGTCCGCACTGTTTCATGTGCTCTGTATGCTCAATTGTGTCTCCCAGGAACCTCCTGCTGGTATCATATTTCAAGTCTGAGATTCATTATTTTTCTTCTGTGGGTTAGACGCTGATTGAAACGTACAAACAAACCACTGACTGCCCATCCCCATTCACCAGGCATTTCAAAGAGAATAAAAAACACAACATGTAACTAGGGACAGAAAACAAATCAACAAATGAAGAACAAGATGAAAGAACACTGGAAAAACACAGCTGATTATTTATGTGTTGTTTGTCAGAGATGGACAACGGAACTGAGAGTAAAAGACAGTTCTGGAACAGGAAAGTAACACTTGGCTGTGTGTTAGTTTTCTAGTCAAGACATCCAACTAAAGTTGGTGATTCCTCTGTGGTTGGCAGCCAGTAGCAGGACTCTGGAGCAGAAAGGCCTTTGTATCTTGTTTTGATGCCAAATCGTATAGGGTACTGTAGCAAACCTGGAACAGAGTTGGATCAGTGAACCAAGACAGAAAGAGCAATATACAGTATAGCAAGGAAAGGAGGTGGAAATACAGGGAGGCAAGATCACTCCGATACAGCCAGATCCTGCTTCACCTGGTGGCACAAATCACTATGACATTTATCAACCCCCTGTGACCAGTTCTTATATGGCTTAATTCATATACTTACATTGGTAGCAACACACATTTTCATTTCATTTCAATCCTTTATTTAATCAGATTGGTCCCATTGAGATCATAGATCTCTTTTTCATGGGAGACCTGCAGCATACAGGTTCCACATGAAACATAAAACAATAAAGGACATCATACATTACATTTACGGGATACATTTACATAGTTATAGACATTTACAAGTGCCCATAGTATCAACAAGCATCTCATTTAGCCTAGCTTTAAAAACACGCAGAGGAATGAGAATGCTCAGTTTCAATTCTTGCTGAAGATTATTCCAAGCAAGTGGAGCTGCGCACATAAAAGCTGTCTTACCTAAGACAGTCCTTGCTCTTGGCACATCTAACAATACTACATCATGCGATCTCAGACAATAGCTGCTTGCAACTCTCTGTGTTATCAGAGAGCAGATATAATACGGGAGTTTACCCAACAAAGCTTTATAAATAAACGTGTACCAATGACTGAGTACAGTTAGTGAAGGCAGACCTGCTTTGGCATACAGGGTACAGTGATGAGTAAGTGCTTTACAATTTGTGACAATATACCCTTGTTAGGCAAAATACACACAACAACATGACCAACAACAACAACCATCAATACAACCTGTTGGGGTGTGTGTGCTAAACTCACCACTTGTTGCGCAGTGAATTGTATCTGATCCCATTCATCCATCCGTCTGTTCATCTGTCTCTCTGTCCGTCTGTCCGTACATACATATATCCAAATATTCAATTCTGATTTATCAATTTCAACATGTAGTTGTCTGTTCATTTAGCTAAGGATGCTTTGATCAGGGGACCATGTGCAGACATATCAATGTGCAGAAAGATGTCCAGTCTTGTTAATTGTATTTAAACACTGGTTCTCCTCCACAGAAAAAAGGTGGATTGGTTTACCCCTGAGCAGTTCCTTGCCAAACTACTTTGCTCCTCACCCCTGCCACCCTTTGAAGCTAAACTTTCAACTGCTTGCATGTACAATTTAATTATTCAGGTCGTTCCTCAAAACTTTATGATCCCAGGTGACGGAAGGAACTTTGAACATCTAGTCACTAGTGTATCCAGAGCTCTCCTTTAAACTCAGCTCTATCTTTGGTTTGGGTTAAAGCCAGCATTGATGCAGACTGAGCCACACCGACATCAAACCCAAACAGACGTACCGTGGTGTTAGACCTCAAAGTGCTGACTCTCATCCCAACTGCCACACAGCTGCAAACCCTCAAAGCTAAAGCATATCGTCTGCAAAATTCAGAGGTACAACTATAATCTCACCAAACCACACACTCTCCTTAGCTGTTCCTAGAGATTCTGTCCAAGAAAATCACAGAATTAGGGACAATGAACAGCAATCGAGGCATCTTGTATTTGAACTTTTTGTGTGTTTGTTTAGTGTCTAGTCTACAAACGCTGGTTCTTTTCACATTGACAGAGCAGATTTGATACATTGCACACCGTTTAAAAAAGCCTATGATGACTACAGATGCAACAATTGAAGGATTGAAGAAATATTAAGTATTGCTTAACGATTAGATCGAAGGATAGAAACACATTTAAACTATGGGAAGAACCAGGAAATGATGGAAGATGACTAAATAAAAATAAGTTTGACTGATTCATTGAATGTTAAAGCAAGACATCAACCAGCAGTGCTGAGGGATTGCTTTCCTTTCACAGAGTGTGGCAGATGAGCATCAATACTCTAGTGAGAGGGAAAAGAGAGAAAGACGAGAGACCATGGAGAAAAAGGGAGGAAAGGGGGAGTGAGTGAAACCCAGGAAGCGTTTAAAGGAGGATAATAAAGCTCCCTGTGTGTCTGACAAGTTCAGTGATTGACAAATTCTTTGAGAACCCAAACACGGAGCAGCTACTTTGCTTTTTACCGACAACTGAATGAGTCTCTCTGATGACTCTGACAATGCATGTGATGTTGAATGGAGAGTAAGCATAGATTCAAAATAACAAAAATTGGACTTTCTCGGAACAACTTTATTTTTTGCAATTTCAAACACACAAAGAAAATCGTATTCTTTATGATTTTCTTCCACGTTCAATAGAACATTGGCTTCATTTTTTATTGCAGAATGACTTTACATTCATCTTTTGAGATGGAAACAAGACTGCCAGTGAGGACATCTGTTTTCATGATATATTCTTTAAACATTCAAAAGACTGACAATCTAAATGCTTTGTCATATTTGTCACAATATCTTGAGTTGTTTTGGAATGAAAGAAGTCCAAGGCGTATGAAGGAATACAAAAACAAAGGATATATAAGATAGAATAACATAAAAACACGATGTAAATCTAAATGCGGTATAGTAGAATAAATACTGCATACTGTAAGTACTTTGCAGAGCTCAGGAGTTCAACAGTCATATAGCCTGTAGGATGTCAGTGGGTGTTTCACAATGTCGAGGACGCTTGCTTGGTAGCACGTGTCTTCCGAGTCACTTGCTTCAGAAGCGAGGCAAGAATCCTTCCTAGCCTCGGAAAATGAAGAATGGTGGAACAGGCTAACGGGTGTGCAGGTTAGTCATATATGAGAGGCCCCGCCTTAAATGGAATGCGATTTCCGCCAAAGATTTGGAAATTGGTCCGTGCGCAAAGCATTGTGGGGATTTTAAGACCGCGGAGTCTACACATGTGAAGCCTCGAAATTTCTCGCTACGAAGTACGCCGGGCTCGGTAGAATTCCAAGTATGCTGGACATTGGAACAGTACTTCGGCGGCACTCGATGACGTAGTATGCTTGAAATAGTGGCTCTGGAGCAGCCTTCCTCGACATTGACAATGTTCCCACTTGTGCTTTGTGTGTGGGTTAAAGAGTGTATGACCATTTCACGGTTATTACTGCATATTGTGGGTGGTAAGGAAGGAAAATCATGCAGCATTTTTGACATGTTTTTATATCGACAAGGAGAAAATGTTTTCGGCATGTTTGTGCCATGGCGAGATTATGAAAAACATTACTGACCCTATTTCCCTACACCATAAGATGAACATTTCCTGGGTTAACTTACAAAATGTTTAGTAATTCAATCAAACTAAATGTGTCTCCAATGGAGCAACAGCTCAGGTACAGGTGCATCATTCCTGTAAAATGTCATTGTTAGTGAACAATGTGTCGCTTTTATCCCTTTTGATCTTATACGTATGTGTGATATATATTTGCCTGTGAAACATCTGTTTACCAAAGCATTGTAACAAATTATCTGTTGTTACCACATCTGCAATCGTTCATTCAAATATTCTGTTAAATCAAACATGGCACAATAACAAAAGGTTTTGTTTGGCTGACAAATATGTACCTACATCATATTTGCTTTAACAGTAGTCACTGAAAATCCGCTTTTATGGATTCCACTGCAGCTATTTCCCGTAGGCTGCTGAAGGCTTACTGTGAAGTGTTGGGTTCCATTTCAAATAAAAAATATGTGTTTTTGCACAGAACTAAACAAAGCAGATGCTAAAAGTTCAGTAAATAAAATGTCATGTTTACCCAAGAACACTGAGCATATCATTGAGCAGCTATTGAGCCCTTTTGGCAAAAACCCTATCCGTACTTTCAATGGACGCTGGGATAGACTTCAAGACCCCTGATCCCTTTACTAATATCTATCTCACACAGGACAACAAACTTTCTTTCTTCATCAACAAGTTCTTTCAAAATAAATAATATTCCACCTCCCACGTACTCTTGATTGCAGTTCTTATAGAATGGAGTATTGACCTATGTTTCCATGTTCTCTCCTCAGTGTCAGCAGTACCGAGAGAGCACATCGGTCCTGGAGAACCAGCCGGCCGGGACGTTTGTCCTGCAGGTCCATGCAGTGGATGCTGACGAGGGCTCCAATGGCAAGGTCACATACGGCTTCATGCACAAAGACTCCACCATACCTGCATTCAGTATACACCCAGACACAGGTACGCACTCACACAGACACACAAACACACACCTACTCACTCTCTTGTGCACATACAGAAGAGTGCACATACTTTCATCCGAGCAGTTTAGCTTTGGAATACAGTCGTGAACCTTACAAGAACATTCCTGGCATCATTGTTACTTTAGGTAAACAACTTTAATTTGATCAGTGGTGGAATGTAACTAAGTACATTTTTCTCAAATACCATACTTAAGTAATATTTTGACAAAATTCCTTACTTGAGTATTTTCATTGTATGCCAGTTTATACTTTACTCCACTACATCTCACAGGCACTATTGTGCTTTTGACTTAGTGATCACTCAACGTTACTGCTCACTTTTTATATATGAAAAGACGCAACACGCTTATGTAATATGATGTTCTACTTTACTATTTGTCAATTCTGTGTTTTATAAAATCACTAATATTGATGCCACATTGAAATACTAAGATTAAAATGATTGTTCATGTGATAAAAACAGGATAATGTTATTTAATAAAACATAGTTTTGATACTATAAGTATATTTGGCTGATAATGCTTCTGTACTTTATGTTGCTGAAATGGCTCATTGTACAGAATGAGAAGTTTACATTTTTGTACTTTGAGTACATTTGGATGCTAATCTTTTTGTGAATTCAGGACGTTTAATTGTATTTTAAGACCATTGTATTTTTTACTCAAGTATAGGAACTGAGTATTTTTCTTTCTTTATCCAACTCTGAACTAGATGAAATATACTCAGTGGAAAACAAATAGTATGATGGCAAGTGGTTTTACGGAGCCCCTAAAGGTTCATGAAAAAGTATCTTGTGCGCACACGATACTTTCTCGTTCAAACGAGAAAGTTACCGGTGCGCCAAGTAGGAAGTGCATTCACAAGAGACAACCGTTTCATTGCAGACTGTTATGTTTATGTGGGGAAATGGCAGTGCATACATTATTTGAGATATATTTCAAACTCAGACTTCATTTTAAGGACATTGCGGCCAGGGGTGTAGAGCTATTTGTTTAAGCACCGGATTGGCAGAACAGGAGAGTCTAAAACCGTCTGCCTTGATCTATGAATTCATATCCGGGACTCTCACGGTATCTGCTGTCTGCGCGCAGAGAGCTGTGTCTTTTACGCAGCGCCTTCACTGTGTTTACCTTCATTAGAACAGCTAAATAGAGATCGAGGCTGCTACATTTTAACCACACACACACGCACACACACACACACACACACACACACACACACACACACACACACACACACACACACACACACACACCTCTCTACACACATCGAACTGCCCGATTATTCCCCCTATTACTCGTTTTATGAAGGACATGTCCGGTCACCAGGGCGCATGATGTGTTTGTGTGTTTGTGCTCAGCTCCATTCTGTGTGTGTGTTCGGTGTGTTCGTGTGTCCAACACCAGCATTTGTTTTCAAATTACCATGAACAGTAATTTACACACATAATATGGCGTAATAATCGGGCAGTTCGATGTGTCTAACCATAAGAAAGTATCTCGTGAGCACGAGATACTTTTTTCATTACCCTTTAGGGGCTCCGTATGGTTTAGTACAGGTTTTCAGAGTAAACGTTTGAATAATCAATTGATCACCTACATTAAGATGTATCAATTTCAGTACCATCTCCTTTCGCAGAAATATGCATCTTTTGTATTTTTACAATGGCCATGAGAGATACCTGTCAGTGGTTTACCTGCAGATCATAAAGCTGGATATCTAAATCATCATATACATATTAATCCTGTAAAATTCTGTTTTTGCAGTTGGTATATATGAAATCAATCTCCTTCACCCTTCAATATTAACTGAAAATGATACAATACTGTTGGATGACTTTCAAATGTTGGTAGGAAAAACAAACACTGCAGCAGAGAACCTGTGCAGGAGCAGGGTTACTTTCCCATGTTGTGTTCCATCCAGGTTCCATGGTAAAGTCAAAGATTAGGATGTATTGCCAAAACCCCTAAAACAAGAATAGTAGCTGCCAAACAACATGCTTTTTATTCCAGAAGCAACATAATGTTATACATGTCTAAAATCATTTATTTCTTTGGATTTGATAATTGCCTTGAAAAACTGTAATTCCCCTTCCTGTTCTTCTCATCCGCTCTGCTGTCTTTCAAGTTAAGCTTCAAGGCAAACATACAAAAAAAATCATTTTGGTGTTAAATTGAAAATGCTCAGGGGATATGAGACCAAGCGGTGTTTGGTATGATTTAGCAGTCTGATCAAACTCATTATCCTTTTGTCTGCAGGAGTAATTGTGACTGCCAGGAAGTTTGATCGCGAACGCCAACGGGAATACGCGGTGACAGTGACTGCCACCGACCGGGCCGCTGACCCCTTGATTGGCATTTGTCAGCTCAACATCCTCATCCTGGACCAGAACGACAACAGTCCCAAGTTTGAGAACATCCGTTATGAGTGTAAGTAGACATTTGTATAGATTAAGTCTGAGGAATGTAGTCTAAAAGAGCTTAGGCCACAGAAGCTTGCAGTAAGAAAACACAAGAAGTGGATGAAAAAAGACATCCAAAACTGATTCTGATATTACTGAAGATAATGTCTGAACCTAACAATAGTCATATTTGTTTAAGGTAAGTGGTAACTAAGTTCCATTTGGTGCAACCATTAGTCTTTAAACCCAGGATACTAGTTAGCATCTTAGCACTTCCAGTTCCCAGGTTTTAAGGTCTGTGGTTAAAATAAGATTTTCATATGTTGTTCGCCGACAACAAATATGTCAGTAAATACCCCACTGGTGAATTCCCAAAGCTTCTACGTGACATAAAAACAACGTTTGCTTACAAGTGACTTAATGAGACTGCTAAAAGTCATCACACCAAGCATTAGCTGCATTTAGCTTAGCGGTGGTGACACAACAGTTTATGTACAGTAATTATTTTGTTATTTTTTATTAGCTTTCTGCTTTGGCAATTGTATGTATGCTTCAAAAATCATAAAGTGGTGTTAGTATGTGGAGATAATCCTGCTGAACATAACTTAATAAATGTGTGTTTGCCAAAGATGTTATTCAGTAATATCCTGAAATCCAATGGAACAATCCCCTGGCTTTTTGTCGAGGGAGCCCTTGCGATGCGGACTTCCAGTATGGCCTACAAAAATACATCACCACTGTATTTACTGTGTTTTGCATTTTTTCTTTGCTGTCAAATTGATGAATATGTTTCTCAATAAGGTTGTGTTTTCTTTGTGTACAGTGGTTTTTTCTGAATGTCAAACAAAGTTTTCTTCATTTGCTTATGTTTTCTGAAGTTACTGACGAATACAGCACTCAGAGAAACACTAAGGCTTAAAGCAAACCTCCTCTTCTCCTCCAATAGACTTCCTCCGTGAGGATACCATGATCGGGACTAGCTTCCTGCGGGTGGCGGCTCATGACGATGACTTCGGCACCAACGCAGCCATCACGTACTCTATGTCCAGTGAACAGCCGGAGTACCTCGGGGTCAACCCCCTGACGGGCTGGGTGTATGTCAACCAGCCCATTTCTCAGGTAAAAAAGTACTCTGCACAAACAGATATTGCCAAACCCTTTTTGGAACAGCTTTCCATTTTCATAAAGGTGTTTCCACTTTGTTGCCAGTGTTGCAGACTAGGGATGGGAATTTGAAAGCAAATGAATATTCGAATATTCGAAATTGGGAAAAATGTTGACAAAAAATAAATAAATAGGAAAATAAATAAGTACATGTTCAAATAAGTATAGAAACCAAGTCGAATTTGTCAAATATATTGAACTGGTGATCACAGTTTGAACAGTTGGAACAGTTGACAGCTATAGGCCTACAGCTTTCATGCTTAAAACATAACTTGGTTTTTAAATGAAAGAGGGATCATACACGAACAACATAACGGGTTAGGGTAACGCAACCCTATTACAACAGAGATCAACAACCTATAACAGGGCCTATGCACAGAATGCAGCTATTCAATACTCATTCTTCTTTAAGAATATGAGCATGTCTACTCAGGGGAGAGGCGGGTGCGGAGACGATTCACAATCAGGCCAGCTGTAGAGAAGACCCTCTCAGCTGGAATGTGGGCATAAGATGAGGTTTGAGTCTGCGTGATCTGCGTGTAGGGAGGGGCAGCAGCCATATCATTGGCTAGAACTAGCTAGATCTGATGGATTTGGACATAAACGCGAGTGAAGTATAACCGGACGCGCGAGAGAGATCAGCACCTGCAGCTCTGCCCGCTGTGAAGGACCGGTGAGCGGAGCAAAACACACCTTTAGACCTAACACATTTAGCTATGGCACTGTCGTATACATTGAATTATTCCATTTGATCATATATAATCAACTTAGATACCCCTCAAAAAAAAAAAAAAAAAAAAAACTCATATTCTCATACTTGAATAATTTCGAATATTCGATGAATCGTTCCCATCCCTATTACAGACATGGCAACTGCACGTGTAATCCATCATCTCTTTGGGTTTTTCTTTTCACAAAGACCCTTGGATGCCCTTAGGGTTGATCACGCGTATTAATCCACTCCATGTAGCACAAAAGCACTTCAAGGAAAATGTTGTAATTTTTATGAAAGTCTAGCTATGACCTTCAGATTGAAACGACAACAATATGCTTCTTCTTCTAGTACATAGCTGGGAAAACAAGCATACAAGCATTTTGTTGGGAAGAGTGGCCAGTAGCTGGAAGCCTGCATATGTGCCTGAACACGTTTAATGTCCTCACTGCCTGTTCTTTGGCACCAGGAAAGATAACATTGGCGAAATGTTCCTCATCTCACTCCCTCTAACCCCTTGCTTCACTACTAGCCAGAAAAACAATCTTGGGGGGAACATGAATAAGCAATAGAGGAAATTGCTACATATAGTGTGCAAAACAAGTCAATTATTAAACCCCCAAAAGTAACAACCCACCACGTTCATGTGCCAAAAGGAAGTTGTGTCTGTAATCCACTTCAGCTTGCATCGTACACCAACACATGGCACGAGGCCAGTGAACAGAGAGTGATCTGCAAAAACAAGTCCATGTTTGAAGATCCAAAACGTTTCCACTGATGAGTACATCTGCATAAAGTAATATACACAAGCAGGCACTGCCTACATCAGGGGTGCCCAACCTTTTTTTAACCGAGAGCTACTTTTAAAGTTGCCAGTCTGCCGAGATCTACCAGTCCAAATAGAGAGGCGTAGTTACTGACCTTTGTACAATTAATACTTCATAAAATACTGCAGGTCCTTTATCTTACCTCTTTCTAATCTACACACATACAAGTATTTAACTGAAGTTACACAACAGTGTTGTTGATATGGAGTTGGAGTTTATTCACACGTCACATACTACAAGTGGGAAATGTTTTCAAGAAACATTGAACAGTGCTGCCACATATGACACAGGAAAAGAAGAAAAGACTCTGAACCCTTTCTTTGCTATTATATAAAAATAGTGTTGCTACAAAAGTATAAATGAGGCTTACTAATAAGACAACTCAGATCTGAAGCTACACAGGAATCTGCTGCCAAAGTGCAATAAAAAAGACAACATTAATAAATCAAAACCCTTTTTTTTGTTGCATTTTAGTAGAGTATAAAAATAAATGCCTTTAAAATAGGATGCAAGCAACACTAGTTTCTTAACCTGAATTGATAATAGACTATAATCAATTTAAACAGAACAGATCTTAATGTTTGCATTCTTATACCATGTTGTACAATAATTATAATGAATAAGTTCAAACAAACAACAACTTACAGCTGATTAATAACGGTATCTAACTTGAGTTTTTATTATATCAAAAACCTGTTGAAATGCTCCTGTTATTTGTACTGTCCCCCAAAAGCGCATCGGCAGCCTCCAGGAATGCTTCTTTCATAACTTCGCCGTCTTTGAAAGACTTCATGTGTTTCTCAAGAACGTGACTGACACGATAAGATGCTCTGGTAGCAGCCTTGCTCTTGTTGTTGGGCCTGGTGAAAATGGACTGCTGTGCATTTAGCTGTCCTTTCAGGCCCCTCCCCTTTTGGAGCGTAGGGCAGAATTAGGAGGGAATTCCGTCTCGTAGCGTTTGTGCACTGTTTTGAAATGCCGCTCCTAAATGACCCTTCTTCGATAAAGCCACGCTCGCATTGCAGATGAGACAGATGGACTTTGAATTGGAATAGATACAAAAATAATGATCCTCCCACTCGGAGTGAAAATTATATATTTTGGGCTTTTTTGCTTCTGCCATAATTGCGGTCTTGTGTGTGTGCGGACTGTCACTCCTGTTGACACGGACAACGTCAGCGAAATAGTGCCCACTGCTCACCAGCCACGCCCCGACACATGGGGTCACGCTGGCCAATCACAAAGCTTTGATGCGTTCAAGTGCATTATTCTGGCACGGGAAGATTATGTTATAGGACATTAACGATAAAACAGAACTGGGAATCTCCCCGCGATCGACCGGTCGATCGCGATCGACTGGTTGGGCACCCCTGGCCTACATGTTTATCTCAGCCTTTGCCAATGTGAGAATATCAGTTGTGATAATTGCTCAGAGTAAATATTGGATTTTGAAAAAACTGCAGAGCATCACAACTTTTGAAAACAGATACCAGGTCAGAGTGTATGAAAAACTTGATGAAAATTAGTTATTGCACTTATTAATGTGAAACTCATTTAAAAGGTCAGAATGTGTGAAGAAGCCTATATGGTAGAACTTTCTATGAGGACCTCATCGATACTGCATTCAGAGAAACTTTCATAGTCAATAATAAGCCATTTGTAACTATTCATGATTACACTCGTAAACCACATAATGCCTTACGATTGAAAAGCCTGTCTGGACCCATGGAGCATGTGCACTTGAGTTTTCCATAAGCCCCCACAACTTTGATACCCTATTGATTAAAATGAGGGCTATACATTTGTTCGTACTGGGTAGTTTATTTAGTTTTAAGAAGTATGCGCTGTTTAGAGACGTTTGTTTCCCAATATAAGTCAATGGGAAATTGTATTGTTGGCCCAAATAGCGTCAGGGACTAAATTGTAAGTGTAATACCCCCGCTTGGCCACTTCACAATTTTGCGTCAGTGGCCAGCGCTCTTCCTGGGGGCATGGGGTACATGCCAAGTCTCTTATTTGTCATTTCCTCGCTCCTCGATCGAACTGGAAGTTGTTCTGGTGCGCCATCCAAGGCGAGGAGCGATAACAGAGGAGCGATAACGGAACTGTGTGCCTTTTATTAGTAGTAGATCAACGAACATGTCTGCAAACACAAACTCCCTCAAAACTCTGCAGCGACTGACAGTCAATCCAGATGCATCAGCTGTTGCTGTCATCACAAACGGAAGTCGCTTAACGTGACCCTCAAAGGAAAGGACATCCCATTGCTCTTAAAACACATTTCCTTGCTTCCTCTCCCTTCTCCTGGTTGAGGAAAATATGCAAGTGAGGGAAGCAGGGATGCAAGTTAAGTGACCTGGCATGCAGGGTTGGTTGTGCTCCCTTAGACTTTGCTAGAACAAGGAAACTACGGCAAGCCTATAGAGACAAACAGTGCCAAACAGGCAACACTCTGCCAACCCTCTTAAAGGGGCAGCGCAGGTTGACTGATGGGGCTTAAAATACATTATGACCCACATATCCACACCTCTACAATCTACTGTGTTAGTCCAATCAATCGTCTATGCAGTAACATATTTCAAAATGTATGTGTTCTTCACTCAAGTAAAGTTGAGTTTGTGTCTAAAGAAATACATGTAACATGGTAACATGTCATTGTATCGCATTAACGCAAAATAATCTATGCAAATGTTATTATCGATGCAATACAATTCACCCTATAATGCACAATACATGTGGTATTCATAGAAAGGATTGGAGAGAAAAGGGCATAAAGAAAAAAGTTACATTTGTGGCAATATGGTAGTTGTTTGTCTCCAACATATTCCATTTACCCACACTGGGAGTACATGACTCTTGGTTAAGTTATTTTCTTTAGTTAGTAAGCAGACCATTTCTTCTGTGTGCAGGGACTTTAGCTAATTGCTCCTTTAAGGGTTAACAAACTCTACGGCTCCACAGTGGGCCAAGCCCCTCAACCAATGCAATTATCGTGGAATGTGTTTGTTTTTACACAAATACGGTCTACCGCTAGTTTGTCCATGGAAAGTGGATCGCTTGCTAAAAACGTTGTGATCTTGATATACTAATCAGTTTTCAAGGAAACTGCAATCACTTTCACACTAATCTTAAAAATCAAGTAATTTACCTTCTCTTCTGTTTGCACTTTTTCGCCACAGAGGACCTACATCACCAGGGAGATTGTGGCTACAGACGGGGGGAACAGGAGCAGTTATGTGGAGTTGTCTGTCACCATCACCAACGTGAAGAACCAGCCTCCACAGTGGGACAAAGACAGCTACAGCATGGTCATACCCGAAAACACCGTCAGAGACACGCCCATCGTGGTACGTTAGGGTGGGGGTTTATATTTGGTACACATATTGGTGTATTTCCAACACATATTACATATGTGTACCTTTGTGTTGCCTATCCGTCAAATGTGTAGCTTTTACCCTGGTTTAATACGAAACATATCGTATAAATCATCTCCCAAGTCTTGGTTCCATCTTTTGAGCCAACTTCCTTGCAACTCATTATCACAAGTTTTTATTTAATTTTTCAACCATATGGTCTTGTGGTCTTCTTGGGTGAGATCAATCTGAGTGATGAAAGTAAAAAGGTATCCAGGAGGCGTGTGGCGCAGTGGATTGTGCGTTGGTGTTCGGATCAGGGTTCAAACCCCACTGCAGTCAGCATGTCGTTGTGTCCCTGAGACACTTCACCCCAAATTGCTCCTGTGGGGATTGTCCACAGTATTGAGTATGGAAGTCGCTTTGGATAAAAGCGTCTAACAAGTGACATGTAATGTATAAAAAGGGGCAATCAAAAATGCTTTACATGAGATAAAAAATGCAGTAGAGTTATGTTAAACACAATAAAAAAATATGATTTAATCAATTGGAATGAACCTAAACCGATATACTTTAACAATCAGACAATAAAACAGAAATATAATTACAGCTGGCTCCTGAACAGCAATGTGTTTTGCCAAATTCAAAAAAGATAAATCATAGTTGATAAATTATGAATCAAAATAAACAGCAAGCATCCATACTCATGCAGTATATTCACAGTAGATACAAATAGACACATAAATAAGCACAAGAAGAAACAAGTATCCTCCTTACACATCTGATGCACTCTACTACTGAAGTACACACTCTGCAGCCCGCCTTCTGAGAAAAGTGCTTTCATGTACTCACAACTGTAAGCGTGCAATTATGCACACACATGTTTGTACTTTTGATTTTAAATATCAAACGGTAGGTTTCCAGTGACAATGAAAGTTGGCAAACTTTATAATCCCTTAACATCAACAAGCGCTCCGGTCCGGCACCTTTTTTCCGTTGTCTTTTGAGCTTCTTGTAGCATTTTGTATTTGCAGCGCTTTTAGTAAACGCTGCACGTTACTTCAAGTTTGGGAATGTTTTCTAAAAATTGCGCATGTGTTGTTTTATCGTTCTTGAAACTGCAGCGTGTTTATCCAAAGGGAAGTGTTATGGGACGTTGTAGTGTTTTCGCACCTGCCATCCTACAAACTGATACTTAAGTACAATACTTGAGTAAATATACTTGGTTACATTCCACTACTGGTCAATGCTGATCAACAAAAGAGTGTTACTTAGAGACGTTATTGTGTGGAATTTCAAAAGAGCTAATTGTTAAACAACCCCTGCTACAGAAAACACCTCATGTTACCCCTTATTTCTTTTAATAGTTTTCTTTGTTTTTATATTTTATCCCACATTATTAGCACAATGTATCCTGTTCAGTGCATTTGATTATTCATAGTGATAGACATTACTTTCTCACAATCTCTTGAAAAGCAATTAAGCCCTTTCAAGTTGCCATTGAATATTTGTATCCAAGAGATGGAGATGGATTTGAAAAGACAGAGGAGAGCAGTATCCATCTGAAAATGTTAATGTGTCTGTGAGCTGTGCTGCTAAGATGCGAGAGAGTTTGTGGTCCCTGCAGTTCAGCGTATTAATGGAGATGGTATTGTTGATTTGGCTCATATGCACTGATGTAACCTCTTTCAGCGGGTTGTATCAGCTCTACCTTGGAACAATTGGGTTTTTATGGCCCTACATCAGCACATACAGTCATCAGGCATGTTTGCCAATTCCGCCTCCCTGATAGGGCGTCTCATTATTGTAACTGCTGTGCTTTACAGGTTGAATACATACAGCTGGGTCGCCCATAGGCAAGCAGCAGCACGTCGGAGATGGCGTTTTTGATTTTAATTGGGGTGCATTTGGCATCAGCTGTGAATGGCCTTTGTTTAATTTGGGAATAGAGAATGAAGTATATTTCCCTTTGATCCCTCAGAACTTTAGCGGACTGTTGTCTAGTCAGTCTAAAACTGTTTGAATCTTACTCCCTTAATATTTTAGCGTTCATTATCATGGGCTAAACAAGGCTTTTTTCTCTATTGGGCAGATCATTTTCCACTCTTTAAAATGCACACTTCCCTTGAAGCTCAGCAGCAGCTGTCCTCTTAGCAATAGAACCTCCAACTTTTAACATTTACCTTTTTTATTCTCACTTTGTTTCAATAAAATATTCAAGACTCCCAGGATGTGATTTTCCCCAAAAGGTCTAGTATGTAGCACCTCATCTTACTTATACAAATGCCATTTATATATATAGGCACTAGCAGGTAAATGTGACCCCTATAGAGAAGGCATATTCTCACCATCAATTATGCTCCTAAATGTTTAATGTCTCAATAACTTAGTCAACTGCTGTCTTAAATCTGGGTCATAAGCTAACCTTTAGTATGGCAAGTTTAAGAGATTGATGTACATCAGGCAATAGACTTGCTGAAAGGAAAGAGTAAATGAGAGTCTGATGGTGGGGAGGTTTCAGAACCAGTGGTGATCTAACTAAGTACGTTTTCCTCGAGTATTCTACTTAAGTACCATTTTGACTTACTTTACTTAAGTATTTCCATTTTATGCTTCTTTATACTTTTACTCTTTCAGAGCCAAATATTGTACGTTTAACTCCACTCATGTATATGCTAGTGTAAAACATAGGATTATATTATATTATTTAATAGTATGATACTGTGAAAAGTGCCATTCTGCATAGCAAGTACTTTTACTACTGATAAATAAGTACATATAACTGGTAATACTCCTTTACATGTTGGAAAACCCTGGTGGTTATAGTGTCACAATCATAGCTGTAATTCCATTTTTTTATTTATTTGCCTTGGCATTGGGAATTTGACACATTCAAAATCCTGTCAAATTCAAAAGACTGGCCTTGGGGACTCAATTTAAACCTAAAGCAAGGAAAAGATAACTATACAGTATATGTGTAGGTGCATGCCAATATGTTGCATGGACAATCTGTTGCTGACACAGACTTTATATTTTGGTTCTACCTTTTTTTCCGTTTATTGGGTAAAATAACAAACTCCCAAGGAGTCAGAGTGGGTAATGTTGTATCGTGTCATCTGTGAACAACTGGTAGACTTTTCTCTCAGACAAGTACTCTGTGTGGGATAGTAGCTACAAATGTATCCAGAGTTATCACTATTAACCTTGTTTTTTTTTTTAATCAAATAGCTTAGCCTCTTTATGTTCAAGTTTAGAGGAAGCATCCTCACAAGCTACATTTCCCAGGAATTGGTTTTGCTTGTTGTGTCTAGATGGCAATCCTAGATTTACACAACTCTCAGGAGATGGGATAGGTTATGCATTGACTTGTAATCACAAATCAAGGGTTATAATCAAGAACCGACCCCTCCTGCACCCTGAATAAAAAAAGCTAAGGACTGCTAAGGGACTCCACAGCATACACAGACAAAAGCACTATGACACGGAAATCAAATCCTCCGTTTCTCTTCTAAAGGGAAAACAGACACACAACCTTGAGTTTAGCTAATGGAATATTGGCAGAGGGTAAGGCTGGAGAGGAATGTATCCTCAGGGAAAACACACTGTTTGGTTATGCTACAGTGTACACTGTGCATTAGTGTAAGTCAGGTGGCTATCATCAGTAATACGACATATCTCCTAATGCTTTGGCAATATTGTATTTGTGAGACTCACGGAAAGAAAGATACCATCGTCCAATGAAAGAAGTGTGCGTTATTATATGAGGGGCCGTAATTCCGTAATAACCCTAACCCAACGCTGTAAATATTGACAAATAAATCCAGCAAAATGGCACAAAGAAAAACTGGTAGTGGCCTGGCTGGCTGTATAATTTCCGGCCTGACTTATTGTCTCGGTCCGGCCCTGGCTGTACCTGTTCGCTCTGCCATCGCGTGCAGGGTCTGCTAACAAGCGACCAACCGAAAGGTTAATGTTGTTGCACTTCACAAAGGCACGTCACGTCACCTCGCCACGCACCCAATGCTGCCAGTACTGACCATTTATGGAAGTCCAGGTGTTATTTCATCCTAAATAATTGAGACACCGTATCATATTGGAAATGTACCTTTAATCCTCTTCTTTGTATCCAACAGACCATCAAAGCCACCTCCCCTCTTGGGGATCCGAGGGTGACGTATAACTTGGAGGACGGCATGGTCCCAGAGACCAACATGCCAGTTCGCTTCTACCTGACCCCCAACAGAGAGGACGGTTCGGCCTCCATCCTGGTTGCAGAGCCCCTGGACTATGAGACCACCAGACACTTCATGCTGCGAGTCCGGGCCCAGAACGTGGCTGCTGTTCCGCTGGCGGCCTTCACCACGGTCTATATCAATGTCACAGGTGAGACTTTTTACATTGTAATTGCTCTATTAGATTATTTCAATTATGTATTATTATCCCATCTTCCATTGAAATATCTCCTAACATCGTTGTGTTCCTGTGTAAGAGTTTTGCATTTTGTGGGTTCAAGTTTTCACACATGATATGTTTTTAAAATAAATGCTTTTCCATTAAAACATAAAATATAGCACCATTGCTTAATAAGCACTTGCCATTGACAAATGTAGAATGAAATGTGAGATTAAAAGGTTCACTCTGAGGCAAAATACTGCTGTAATGAAAAACAAGTAGATGATATCCTCTCGTAAATGTTGAGTTTAGGTGAAAAAGAAGACAGTGTTATGAAGAAACACAAAAATCATACAAAGACACCCAGTTATTGTGGACATAGAAACTCTAGAGAAAGATCACTTTTGTTAGGGAAAGACAAAACGTGGTTGATTGGATATATCCAATTGCACACTGCAGCAACCAACCAGCACTACTGTATGACTATAACAGGAAATAAGGACAAACTTGGGTGTTTGATGATTTGTTGTTGTTGATGGTTGAGCTATAATCTAACGCTGATTCTCCCGTCATTAACTGTATGTAACTGTGATTTCGGACCAGCATTTCACCCCTTTACATTACACCTATGATTGTCGTTGTGCTTTGTGTTATTATTCAGTGTCACTGTTTTTGCTCTATTTAAACTGCTGCGGTTCTACAACTGAGGCCATGGAGAGCGATCTGAAGGGTCAACAGCATCATGGCACTCTCTCACTTGCAATCTCATTTTCCATTGGAGTCATTCAAATCTTTGATTCCAGAGCCACACAAATCCAAATCATCTGCAGAGGTCACCATCTGTTAGAAGTGAGATGAGTCCAAGATTGAAACATATATGTTTAATCCCACTACCTCCCCTCCTCTGCACAAGAGGGACATCCAAGTCTCGTCGCTCTTTCCAACTCTTTATCGCTCATCTTTGGCTAAACACGAATGCTTTCACCATGGCTCTATCATGTCTGTCGTTATATTATGGTACTTCTAAGTATGCTTACTTTAGTTTTGTGTTACTCTATTTGACTTAAAGGGGACCTATCATGTAAAATGCACTTTCTTATGTCTTTTATACATAAAGATGTGTCCCCGGCAGAGTTGGGTGTAACGCGTTACTGTAATACTATTACTTTTGTCGGTAACGGAGTAGTGTAACGCGCTACTTTTATAATTCAGTAATCACACTACAGTTACTAACATTGCCCCGACACGCGTTACTTCGTTACTTACTAAAATCAGTCATAATCAAACCTCAACAAACACCTGCAAAGAACACATGCTAAGGTGAAGCTAACGCACAGCTATTTGTTGTTTGTTTATATCACGCAGTCTGTTCTTCTTCTCTGTCTTTCGGTTGTTGCCTGTTTTGAATGACGAATACACACTACCGCCGCCTGCTGGTAAGGAGAGTTATTGCCACTCACGCATGCGCAGTTCGTACGTGCTCGGCTGAAGTCTTTGCGGTGTCTGGTTCCAGTGCAACAGATGGCCAACACGCAGGAGAACACGCCGACGCAACAGCGTGAGCAGAGATATACTGCGCAAAATACAGATAGCAGGAGACAGAGGACAGCCATGGTCAGATAGGAAAACATTCAGGATCTGGATCAGTCTTATGCGACAATGGAAACTGAACTAGAGAACATTTGAAACTTTAGCAGTCTGCGTGATCTGCCTGCAGGGAGGGGCGGGCCGGCCCTGCGAGTAAAGTAACGAGTAAAGTAACGAGTAAAGTAACGAGTTACTTTATGTAGAGAGTAACGAAGTAGTGTAATATATTACTTTTTTTTAAAAGTAATATGTAATATGTAATATATCACTTTTTTTTAGTAACGACCCCATCTCTGGTCCCCGGTGTGTCAGGGAACTCACAAAATATCAGAAAATAAAACCCTATCTCTTTTCCTTCATACCCAAATCTCTAAAGACGGGGAACAATGGAGCTGATCCAGATTTGCGTCCGATATGAAGTAATATCGTAAATGTGGACCCACGGCCCTATCAGAAACCTTGCTATCAGAAACAATGCCCGACTGTTTTGGACGTAATATGGTTGGTGTTTACATTAGCAAGCATCGCTAACACTCAGAGCTAACCTGTACTGGAGAGAGTATGTGTACAAAGCAGGAAATAAAAAAAGGAACTCACTTTGTAGTAAACCCGCGAGAGAAGAAGCATTTGAGCTCCATACTGTTTCAGAAATAATCCTTGATGTGATTTGGAACATGATATGGCGTTTCATCACGGCAGCATTTAGCTGAGTATCTGCGGTAGAATTCTGAGCCGGCATTAGCTCCCCCTCCTCTTCTTTCTTTTGTTCAAGCTAAGGACCCCGAATCAGCGTTTCTCTAACAGGGCTGGAATACAGGGATATGAGGGATGTCTTTTATATATTTTTTATATATCTGAGACCCATAATATATGCCTACAAATAGCATGATAGGAGACCTTTAATACTCAGCCCATGGTAACTATATGCCTAAATTGCCGTCATCACTGCTAAATATGGTGGTATTTGCTATTCCCTGACCTTGCTCCTCAAAATAACTCTGCCTACCCTACATGCCCCAGACTCCCATGCATTTAATCCTCTTGCAACTTGTACGCATTCACTCACGCACACACACAAGCAGGCATACCCTATTCCGTTAATTCGGTCTTAATCCAGTGAGAAATAATTTATTCACACCCTCTCCCTTCTCTTGCCTCTCTGTCTCTCGTCTAACTTCCCTTCTCCTCTTTTAATTTGCTCCTCCTCTCGCTTATCAGTCTTAATAAGAAAGCTCTCTGACTCCTCCAGAGGCATTGCAGAGGAAGGGAGGGAGGTCTGTAATGGATTTAAATTCCCATTTAAATTCATAGATTAAGACATTTGCTCAGAAGAAATGGAAGGGAGAAATGGCACATGGAGCAGCATTAGAGCTAATGTATTGCTCTATTTCATTTCTATTAAGTGTTTGGCCCAACATCAACTTTGTTGGAATATGGCTTCTGCTTTTTCAGGCAACTTTAAAGTTCGCATTTTGTCGTCTCGATGGTAATTGGAACGATCAGTTTTATCCCTCCGAATAATGTAACAGCCTCGCTTCTCTCCAATTGTTGTTCACGGAAAAAGAAAAAGAAAATGTTGTGTCATTATTAATCGCCCAATGCCTGTTTTACCCTTTTTCCGATTAAATGCGTTCTGTCTTAGTTCTGTGCTGGGGCTACTTTGGTTCACAGTTCGTTCAACTTTATTTTGTTTGCACTTTTATTGTCATGACACAGTACAGGTACTATGTAATGAAATGGTTTCTCTGCATTTGACCCATCCTAGTGTTAGGAGCAGTTGTAAATCACCTCATGCCACCCTTTACGTCACAGCTTTTTCCAAGACAAAGCAACAACAATAACAACAACATACTTTTCCTTAAAATAACAACAATACAATAAGAACTCCTGGAGTGGTACATTGGTGTTTTATACTATTTCATAATGGCAGAAGCCACTTTAAATTCACTGTCTGACAGTCTCACCAGTAACGTCCCATGATGCATTTCCCCATACATGTATGGGTTTTTCAGTTTGTATTGGCAATGTATGGCAACATAGCACTGTAAATAAAGGATTGAAAAAGTCAATAAACAACATTTCTTGTATTACAGGGATAATGTAAGACTAGCCATTGAATACATTCTGTATAATCAATAACAATCAGCAAAAAAACTCAAAGGAATTTGTGTTATTGTATTGTAGAATGTGATAACAAATGATATGAAGTTCCCTTTCAACCTAGCATATATGTGGGATATAAATGATTCACCATAAATGCAGTTAGTACAGTTATTTTTGCTACCACAATGATAACAAACAGGTTGTCATTAATAGTAACGTAAATAATAAATGTTGTGTTACTTTTATGGCTAATCTTATATAGCCTACGTGTGAGTGATCATGTTCTACGCACTTTGACATCTCGGTTCTGGAAACAGGGTATCCCAACAGGGCTTGCAAAATCATAAGTCAGTTCTCAGAGATACTTTTTAATAAGTGGATTTACAAAAATTAGCCACCATGGTGCTAATACTGATCGTTTATTTATATTTGTATTACACTTCACACAATAGGCAGGTCTTAACAGATTGGATATTGATTTCACTCTATCAACGGCTCCAGGCTTAGAATCTCCAAATCAAACACAGTCCTGGATGCTGATTGGTAATATCATAGAGAACCCTAAAGCTGCCAATATTCACCAACAATAAGAACCTTTATTTTTCTTAAATGTATTTATTGTCTACGTAGTCAACTTTAAGAAGGCTTAAGAAAAGGAAATTAAAATGATTTAAAAGGAAATGTAACCAGAACATAATTGACTAAGTAAGACTAGAAACATCTCCGCATTATGTGGAGGTGTCAAGTACCGATGAAACAAAGTGTGTTTTGTGTTTTTCTCTGCAGTTCTAAATGAATATTCACATGAAGGATGTTTTGTTGGTATTGAAGCTAAAACCATAGAAGTTCAATTTCCTTTTGATTTAAGCAGGAACTTCTAAAAGTGTTCAGTCAGAATCTCTGTCTTGTTACAAAACACAGGGTCAAAAGATCATAAATGTGGGAGAGATCCCAAGCTTGATGGGCTTTAAATGTAATTAACAGGAAAGTCAATTGAATTTGCAATGGAAAGTGCTAAATTGCAATGGAAGTCAATGCAGTACAGCGAGAGAAAAAGGCTCTTTGCAATTGATTTTACCCAGAAACTCGTCCAAAGGCCGACGTGCATTGTGCGGCAAGTGAGTGTTGTATTCACAAAGGCAATAACAGTCGGCAAAAGACACTTATTGAACTGAAATAACCCTTAAAAGATATGCACAAGCTGTGTCAAATGTGGCTAAACAGAGTAAATATAATGCAGAAAACAATACATGTCATTGATTGTGCTCTTGGGATCTTTGAGATATAACAACATCCCTACTGAGCATATTGTTTCTAAGAACTTATCTATTTACTTACCTAAACCATTGGTTGCTAGGATGCTGCTTGGTTGGCGGTTATCACCTGGTGCTTCAGGCAACCTACCAAAAAACCCTATGAATCATTTATGATGTTTCCATCACATTCACAAGACATACAACACAACTAATTGATTGGTATAGTGTTTGTTGTGTTCATAAACGCACTCTTTCCTTCTATCCTCTTTGCTTCTCTAGATGTAAATGACAACGTCCCATTTTTCACTTCCTCCATCTACGAGGCTTCGGTCACTGAAGGGGCGGAATCAGGAACCTTGGTTTTCCAGGTCTCAGCCGCTGATCTCGACTTGGGTCTCAATGGCAAGGTAAAAACACAAAAACAATCATACTGTCTTTAGAGTTGTAATGTTGCTTTTTCATTCAGTAACCTGTTAGTATATTTAATTGTGTCTTCCTCATTCCCCCCACCCTTCCCACAGATCTCCTATTCCCTGCTGGAGGACCGCAGTGGAGACCACCAGTACTTCCGTATTGACCCTGAGCTGGGATTCATCTACTCTCAGACTGTGTTTGACCGCGAGACCAAAAGTTCCTACCTGTTGGAGGTTCAGTCTGTGGACGGCTGGGAGTCAGCTCGGCCTGGCAAACATGGACAACCCAACTCTGGTAAGTTAGGCTCACACTGCACTAGGGCTGTCCCGGATAAACATTTTCGGGCTCCGGATATTCGGTAGTAATCAACAGCGAATATTCGGATATTCGGCGTGCGCCCGCAGAGGCACAAGCTCTTACGTTGATATTGGAGATATCAACGTCACATTTTGCAGCTGCAGTGCTGCCAAATTGAATGGCAGGTTGTGTTTTCTCTGGTGTTCTTGCAGTTTGTCCAGTTAGAGTTAGGAACAGCAATTGTAAAAATCACAAAGTATCAAGGTAAAGCCATTACTGTCCTATGGCAATGTAGTTATTGATTAGAAACAGTACACAGAAGGGAACATGTGGATGTAACTTAGTGAAAACAAAGGAAACATGCAATATTTCCATGACTCTCAATAGGTTTTTACCTTTACCACAAAAAGATGTGACCATGTCTTACTAAAAGAAAATCCACTTCTATAGTACACAATGTCTGCGGACACTTAAACATCAAACCCATGTTTGATGTGTTGAATATCTTAAAAAGCAGCCCGGATTTTCGCCTGATAGACCTGGCTTTCAACTGGCATTCTGCTTCCTTCCAAATGTGTTAGATGATGTTGAGTCAAGGTCTTTTTCACACCAACAATGAAATAGAACTTGTTGTGTCCATGGAAAGGACCTTCAACAAACTCTTGCTACAGAGTTGGAAAATGGTCTTGAATATCATTGGGGACAGAGCCTTCTCAGTGGCAGCTCCAAGGCTCTGGAATTCCCTCCCCCAAGATCTCCGTGACTCTGAGTCCCTCACAGTCTTTCAGTCCTGCCTCAAAACACATATTTTCAACTCTGTCTAGTGTCTACCCATAAGCCCCCCCCCTCTCAATCAACTTCCTCTTGACTGCCTTTTTATTTATTTTTTATTTTACTATACTTACTTGTTTGCCTGTCCTTATTTGTCTATCCTCCCTCATACTGTAAAGCGTCTTTGAGTTGTGAAAAGCGCTATATAAATAAAATGCATTATTATTATTATTGTATGCTGTAGCACCATGTTCATCCTACACCAAACAATTGCCACTGTGCTTTAAGGCATGTAGTGTTCTTCTGACCTAATAAAACCAACCAGATTATTCGAATTAGTGAAGAATGATTCCATCAATCTAGACTAGACATTTGAAGTGCTACAGAGGAGAGTCAAAAAGTCTGTGTCCGATCCCAAAGAGACCAAAACCCAAATGTAAATATATAAGATCAAAGCGTGTTATACAAATATCCTTCTAATCCATCTTTAATGCCAAGTAAGATGCTAAAATACATTCAGGTTATTATTGTCATTTCTGAAGTTTTTCTGTATTACTTTATTGTGTTCTCATTTTCTTCGATTGAAATGATCTACCATGCTGTACCTAAACCATTTCCACCAACAGAGGCAATACTGAAGTATTGATCTCTGTTGCTGATTGGAACAGCATGGCTTATCCACTTATTATTTCATCTTCAAAGTCTACTTGTTGCCATGGTGATGGATGACAAATAGAACTCTATCAAAGTTAGATTTGCAGTTATCTAGCATAATAACATAACATTGACTGATTGTTTTCTGGAATCATAATTACGATTGCTCGATGCCAAGGTGTAAGCAGTGTTCTGTTCTTCCAGCGCTTAGGTTTTTCACCTCTTTTTGTTCTTTTTTTCGAAACACACACCTGCACACACACACACACACACACACACACACACACACACACACACACACACACACACCTGCACACACACAGTCACAGAACACAGAGAAGGTTGGTTCAAAATGCAACAGACAGCTTCTCTTTCTAAACTATCTTTATGTAAGGCTTGGTCCAGGCAAGGCAAGGGAAAACAGAACAGAATTTCTGCTGAACACAAACAAGAATCCAACAAGAGAACTGGATTTAAATACAAGCAGAACTAACAAGGAGATGACTTGCCAGTGTACAGAAGATCAGGTGGTTGCAGGGAACTAAAAATGCCTGGACAAACAATAAAAATAGGCGGGAAAACACACTGAGACAGGAAATAAAAAGACACAGGGGGAGAACACTTTTCAAATGAATCCAGAAAACTAGGATCATGACACATAATGAGCACTGTCTGATCAAGGCCATGTTTTCTTGGATTGAATGGCTAAAACACTTAATGTTAAACAGACCATAACAACAGGTGGGGTCCTAGGGTTCAGGTGGAACCAAAAATACTTTAGGACTATAGGGAGTCAATCAGGGTCTGATTTGCACCTGTCTGAGAATTTGGTATGGCATCAAACACCATCAGAAATGACACTAGGTCAGTTTTAAGAGCTACATGGGAATATGTGGACTAACATTCATCAATAAGCTAACCTAGGTTAGCCACCAAGTTGCTAATACTGATCAATAACAAGGTTTTTCTAAACGTAATTGGACATAGATTTAACCGAAAATACTGAAGCTGCTCTTAAGATCATTATTCACTTAGAATAGAGGAAGAACAGTCATTTATTCCCTATCACCGATAAGATGTTTTTATTAATTCCAATTTGGGAAATGTTTACGTTGCAGCAGCATAAAACACAAAGCATTGCACATAAGAGCACACCTGGGTGTTCTTGGATTGAATAGGCAATACAAAAATAACGTTTTGGCATCACGCATGGTGATCTTAGGTTTGGGTGCCACAAGGAAATTGAAGTCACAAACATTGTACTTAATATTTATGGTACATAATAATAGTTGTATGGGCATATTGGAACTCTACTTAGTCAAATCCATGGCTAGTGTGGCCTACTGCCTCCACCCAACTGCCATTGCTCCTAAGTTGGAAAAAAACTGGTGTGAAAGTACTTTGACAGTTAAACCATAATGAATTTGACAAGCCACATGTGATGTCATTGAAATATTCGTATAACATATTCTACTGCAATGGATTTTCTAAACGAAGCATTATGCATGGCTGTATGCTCGATTGTATTCACCTGTTAGCATTGAACCCATTCATTGGAAGGGCTTTCAAAATGAGTCAAAACAAACCGCAGTCATTAACTTAAGACATTGCAGTTGAAGCAATTACCTTTAATGGAGTTGCTACCAATGCAAATGGAAAATACTCAACCTTAATCAAATGAATGTAAACAAGAATCTCAGCCACCCAGACTGTTATATTCTCTAGTTATTTGAGATATAATGTGTAGTGGCACTTCAAAGAAGAGTTCACCGGTTATTGAACCAAACGCTATCATGGGAACATGTAAACAAATGATTGCAGGAAGGATTTAGATGAAGTTAATATTAGAGCGTTAATCCAGTTTTTATTATGCTGTTATACTGACTGAAAAAGAGGGCAAGCACGGAAAAAAAGAAGACAGCTGCTCTGTAGACTTCATTTAAGGCTCAGAATCTTTATTCAAGGCAGCAATAATCTCTGTTTTCTTCTTGCCGTCTCTTCCCCACATCTGCTCATCTCTCCCTGCTGAATGACCAAAAGCCATCTTTCTCTTTCCGTCTGTCTCCGCCTCGTCTTCAGTCTCTCCATTTCCCTCTCATTTGCTGCCAGATGAAATGCATACATGCTCCAACGGTAGAATAGAGACGCGCGGAGAAGTGAACAGATGTTGAGACAGATGGGTGGATGCAGAGAGAGGTGTTGAATAAACACCAAGACAGACCAGGATCTATTTTTAATAAATATGATCATAGATTATTAACAGATCCTCTCTCTAGGTTTAGCTCACTGGGACATTTGTGGGAGTGTAAACAGAAGTTAAATATTAAGCAGAGCGGAGACTAAGAGACCGCCGTTAAGCTTTGGGAGTTTTTATTTTCTATTTTCTGTGTTATATTAGATGAGGTGGCACGAAGAAGGCTGGATGACAGGAAAATCAACAGATAGTTAACACGAAACCACACAGCATCACAAGTAAATATAATGGCAATTTCTGTCGATTAAAGTGGGAAGTATACTAGTGTGAATGTTACTCAGAAATCTGTTAAGCCTGTGGTGGAAACACATCAGCAACACATCTGGAGGAGCTGTTAAAACCTAACTTTCTTCTTAAAGTGGGCTCAAACACACAAAAGAAAATAAATTATAAGTAAGGTTTGCAAAAGAACGTATTGGGTGTAATACCAAACTATCCCCTCAGTCACTGATGAAATTGAGATTTATTTTCTTCCAAACATCATTAATAATTTATTTTCAAACGATAACATTGATATAAATCTGATTTATTGCCAGACGCTCCTCAAATCAAAGAGGACCTGCTCAGCTTCCTTTTACAACATCCCATCCTGCTCTCAAAGAAGTATTCTCAATGTCAGAAATACTTTTGTCTATTAAATGGTTGCAGTCTGAAAATCTATCTACTATAACTTGCTCCCATGCATGCGCCGGTTTATTATACTGAGTTCTAACTGTAAGGGAACTTCACTGAAATAAAAACTGTCAGAGGATGGTATCGTATCACTTTCAGTTCCCTCTTCTAGAAAAACGTTGTGGTTAGATGCCTAAAATAATGTCTGTGGTAACACTGACTTAAAGAAATGTCACGTCTATTCCATGACTAGGGTTGGGAACCGAAACTCGGTTCCAGATGAGAACCGATAAGAAAATGCCGGGTACCGGGTACCCATACAAAATACACAATTTCGGTTCTGCTTAACGGTTCCTAAACGCGGTAGACCCTGTATTCCAGCGGGTCCGTCTGCGCCGCGGTGCTGCGGTGACCCGGTGGAATACAGGGCGGACCTGGAGAATCACAGAACGGTAAATTTTTTAAAACGGCATCATATAAATTGCGCTGACAGGCGACAGAGGTCCACAGTTGCCCCGCAGCGATGCTCCCCCGCCCTCCCGTAGACATTTCACGAGCTCAGTCACTTCATAAGACCAAAGATAGGTCGCGGTAAACACTCTGAAGTGAGGCTCCACTACACTAAAAAAGAAAAAGAAAAGGCAAAGTGTAATGCCTGTTAATAGCTTGCCACAGGCATAGCTCAGTTAAAATAAAGCACAGCTATTGTGCAATCCATTTGTATTGCATGTATATTTTTTAGTAACAATTTCAGTTAAAGCTTTTAAGAATAAATATATTTTTGTTATCTAAACGTTTGACCTCTTTATTTTACAATTTTGGAATCGAAACGGGGAATCGATAAGAACCGGAATCGATAAGCAGAACCGGAATCGAAATCGGAATCGATAAATTTCAAACGATACCCATCCCTATCCATGACATAAAATGTGTCAGTCAAGACGCACTGGTGAATGTCTGAATGTGTCTTTACGGCGGTTGCTAACAAGCAGCTGAATGAACTACTTCATCCACCGCATTTAGCTTAGCGATGGTGATGTGAAGTCATTAGAAAAACCCTCCTAAGAATCATATCCCTATTATGCACTCTAAGAATCAAATGGGTTATCTCATGAGTAGTTTTATATGGAAATAGTTACTATATATTAATATATTTTAATTTGGATATAGTATTTATGTTACCATTTGCACAATCATGATCAATTGGATTAGTACAAAGATCCATCTTTCAGTTTTTTGTACAGTATTACAGAATAGTTTTTTAACAGATATAAATAATGCCGTTGTTTATCATGTGATCTGTGAAGAGCTTCCAAGTTGTTTTCTGTTTGTAACTAACAACACTTTGATATAGTGACAATAATTAAGTAATTATTCTGAACACCTTTTTTAATTCACAAAACATCACATTACTCAAAAGCTCCAAGGTGCAAACTCTCAAGTGGCATCTAAAAGAAATACTGTACTAGAAAAAAAAGGTGGAAGGCGTGATAATGACTTTGTTTTGTATTAAACCTTGAACAACTGCACTAATTAAGTCACATCACAACAGGCGGCAGGATGTCTAGAGTGGTCACGAAATAACCTTGATAAACACACTTTTACCAAGCCCTTCTGATGTTTACAAGCCGATGTGCGAGGTGTGGTTAGGTGTGTGAGTTCTAGTGGTTGAAGTGTTAAAGCATAAATGAACAGGTAGCATTATCAGATGAGAGGGTGGATCAGGCATGGCTCATGTCTTCTTCCTTCTACCTTTCTCTCCCTCTGACAGATTCCGAGCACGAGCAAAGGTCTGACATCTGCGACTTGTTTTGTTCTAGCTGCGAGGGGCTGCATTAGTTAGCGATCTGTGCCCTGAACTGTGGAGCATCTCTTCCGCCCTGGCTTGAATAATTGATGTCATCTCGAAGCGTGTGTTGCAAATGATGCTCGTTTTGACCCGTATCAAAGGAAGCTTAGTGTGTTAGGTTGTTCAACTACTGAGCCTTACACCGATGCCCCCAGGGCGCTTTGTGCTGTGCTCAGCCTGCAGTCGGAAGCTGAGGGAAAAAAATGTTTAAAAAAAGCTGGATTTAATGGTGAAAAAGACAAGAATAATGGAAGCAGATTTAAAAGAGGTAGACAATGGCTGATGGAAGAAAAAAATAGATTTTATTTTTGTCTACGTGACTTTCCTATCTGTGTATGTGTGTGCATGCTGCTAAAAAATGAATAAATTGTTGCTATCCAATGAAAGATAGACAGATGTTCGTGTTCTTGTTGACAGAATAAGAACAACCTCATGTTTATCCTCTTTTTCTCTCTCACTCTTTCTTATCTATTTTCAGACACAGCGTATGTTCGTGTTTTCATCAGCGACGTGAACGATAACAAGCCAGCGTTCGCACTGGCGTCCTACGAAGTCGATGTGGATGAGGACGCTGACGTAGGCTTCGCCATTCTCACCGTCAGTGCCAATGACGGGGATGAAGGTGGGTGGCATGGATAATGTGTGTATTTATGTGTGAAGGAGGCGGTGTAGATACAAAAGGGAGAGTTTATAGGAGCACATTTACTAAAGCACACTGCCTAAGTGTTTCTTTTTCCCTTCACTCGAGAAAAAGCCTTTCACTTTACTGCTTTTGTTCGATCCCTTTCATTCTGATGAGGGGAAAAAAAGCTGTTTACAACAAGTATGTCGTGAAAATGACAGCAATATGTCAGTCTAACCCGACGCGGTAGAAGGATCCTTTCAATGTAACCGTTTGATATTGAGAAATAAGTTCTCAAGGGCTGAAATGTGCACTTTATACTATCTTCAGACGTGGAGACATGGGTTTTTCAATATGTTTCCAACTTCCATGGCTTAATGGCAATATTTCTATTACCCAGCAGTTGGAAAATGTAGTGCACATATATGTTTTGTTTGAGATTCCATGAGTTCACTGTGGCAGAGCATAATATAGAAGTAAAGTGTCAATAACTACAACATCATCTCTCTAATAACATGGTGCAGAAAGGAGGGCTAAAACCCGGGAAATTAGTTAGCATTTTAGCACCACGGTTTGCCTGACGTAGAGTTTTTGGTTGGATGCCAGAAATAAGATCTGATTCACACAAGCTTGAGAGATTTGGTTCTAAGACATGAATCCGTCAGTAAATACCCCACGTTTTTGAAGCTTTTCAAAATGTATATGTTGCTAATAAGTGGCTACATTTGACCACTAAATGTCACCAAGCCAAACATTAGCCGTCTTTAGCTTAGCGGTTATGATATGTGTCAGCCTGACATTTGCTTTCCAGTTCTATTGAACTACAATACAAGTTGTGTTTAATATGAGTAGATTATCCTGCTCAACAAAACATGTTGGTATCACAAACGTGACAGAGCTTATCTTCTGCAATATTCTAAAATCCTATAGAGAATTCACATTGGCTTTTTGTCAAAGGAGCCCTTGGGGTGATAACTTCAAGGTCTGCCTACAAAAATACGTTATCACTGCACCATTCTATTGTAAGTGTGCACATGATATTCCTATTGTCAAGACACTCCATTCACTATTTCCTGAAAAGCGCTTTGAACAAACCAAATAGGAATTAACATTTTAACATCAGGTATAATTTAGTAATAACATATTTTTCCAACATTTAGCCCTGTATATTTGTAATATGAACGCTGTTTTTTTTGCAATTGCATTTCAATAAGCTCCTATTGTGACCACATATTTTCATTAGGCCGTTTTATAGCCTATTTCATTCAAAAAACACACACAAGAACATTAGATAACAACATTTGGAGAACTTTTAACATGAAATTGAGATACAAACAAGTACAACAAATATGATTAGAGAATGGTGAATGACAAATGGTCTTCTTCAGTGATTCTTTGCTGATTCTTAAGAATTATAATTTTGAGTCTTAATTTCTCTTTCTACAGCTCAATTTTGTCATGTTCCGCTCTCAGTTGTGCGGTCTCCACCTCCACATGAACGATCTCTTTCTCCACCAGTTCACGCTGTAGCTCTGTAAAATCCCTCTTTCTTTTTCGGGGTGTGGGCGTCATTTTTCTCTTCTTTTTTTTTTCCATTATCCTTGACTTCGTTATCCAAGTCTTAGCTTGCTCTGAATGGAGGAGTTTGAGTGTTAAATTATGTAGACGTGTGTTGCTTGGCAACAATTACTGTTTCGCGTGTATTCACATGGACGCGCATCTTAAGACCAGACGCAGCTACGACCGAGACTAGTCAGGCTTGGTGCACTCAAATTCAAATCACTAAGTCGGACGTAGCTAAGCCCGACGTTAGAGTTAAGACCTACTTTTTTACGCCCAGCTGGTGCACTCCACTCCTGAGGACTGAATAGATTCTCTCAAAGCCTTGCACTACCTTAAACTTTCAAAAGGCATCTAGTAACTCGGTAGAGTTATTTTCAGAATATGACTAGTACTTATAGATGAACAACAACATCAAAAGGGAAATAGCTCATTGTTAGTGACTGGGGCTAGAGGGGTTTCTACAGCAGACAACGAGAACAGAAAATGTCCCCACTTCATCAGACTAGAGAACATTTGGGGAAGTAGGTGGCTCTTTATTTAGCTGTCAAAACTCCTAGCCACTCTTCTTGTCTCTACCTGCTCCTAATACAACTATATTTTCGTCTAGATACTGCACATGAGGCATGTGTAGGCTCCGGTCTTAAAATCCCCACAATGCTTTGCGCACGGACCAATTTCCCCAAATCTGTGGCAGAAAATGTAAATATGACGCACACCTGCACACTTGCTCGCCTGTTCCACTCTTCGTTTTCCGAATGCCAGGAAGTATTCTTGCCTCGCTTCTGAAGCAAGTGACTCGGAAGACATGTGCTACCAAGCAAGCGTACTCGACATTGAGAAACACCCAATGTGCTGAATGCATTTATTGTCCTCGTAAAAAGTATGCACAGCCAATTTTCTTCATTGTTCACATCCAGTTTTACTACAGTAGTCTTATTTTTCCTCTGCATTTGTTGGTGTGTTATGGCAGCCACCTGTCGTCAGTAGAATAGTGTGTAAGCCATAATCAGGAATATGTATTGCATTGCACGCTTGCATGATCATGCCCTGGCACTTGTACGAAAACAAACAAAATAGGATTATATTCATAAAAAAATAGCTCAAAAGGATAAAGTTGGGACATGGAATAATTAAGCTTTAATATCGGAAATCATATTAGAATAGAAAAGGAAATGTACAGAAAAACCCAGACTGTAATATAACATGGTTTCCATCTAGCCCAAGATCTGCAAACAGGTATTTTCACTTTTGAATTTCAGATGTCGTTCTTTGTTTTGTTTGGTTGGTTTACTTTGTGTTTCTTAGTTATTCTCTGGAATGAGTTGGATGGACATGGACACAATAAACTACACATAGCATTAGTATTTGAAAATGTATTCTTCTGTTTGTATTTACATAGTATGTGGTTTTATATCGTTCAATAGAACCCTTCTATTTAAAAGGTCATGGCTTTGCTGTCAATCACTGCTAACAAACAGGAAGTCGAGCATAGTTGATCACAAGTAACTGCCAGGGCAATACGACTTTGTCTCTATTTTTATAGATGATACGACTACATTTGGATTGCAAATACGCCCCAGTTTTATATAGGAATTTCTTGGGAGGGAGAAAAACATCTGGCTTGTTTGAAAGAGACGGCGAATAACATCAGAGAACACGTCAATATGTCACAACATCTTAAACGTTGTCTACATGTGTCCGTTGATGATTGGCTTTGTAAGTCATTGTTTCAGCCAGACTCTCTTTGCTCACTTACACTTTTTCTTTGTTTTAGTATAAATAAAACATATTGAATACAAAAGCAGATCCAAGTTCCTGGTGCGAAGTACAGTTCAAGTGACGATTCAGCAGCATATGCTTCTGGTGCATCTGGTATTACAGCAAAGCATAAAAGTGTGAGGGATCAAACAAGCTGCTGGATGAGTTCTAGTTTTACCATCCAGGTGCTTTAGTCATTGTTCATCCTTAACTTTAATAACTGCACCTTTAGTTCAAGCACTTTCCCTCACACCATCAGACTACTTCGTACCTTTTATGTTGGATCAAAATGACATCTTGTGTGTCTGTTATGGTTCACCTGTGAATATTGTACTTCCCCGCTGTGAAACAAAACCTCTGTGTAAAACAGGAGAGGGAAATTAGAGGTCAGTGTCAGATTGAAAATACACACTTGTCCTCTTCATTCATACCAATTGATGTCCCCCGAAGGACCCTAGGATTGGTTATCAAGCATCGACTGTCCAAACTAATTATGCCTGTAAGCAAGTTGTTGAGAATCCTGTTTGAAAGCCAGAGCCAGTCGATATCGGTGCTCATAAAGGTCTCATTATCTTCCATTTTATGTCCAGGATCTCAGAGAAATAATCTTTAAAGTTCTGCTCACCTCACTTTACCCCTGATTGACGTAACTAAGTACTCAGTGCTGATACCAGCAACTGGAAGTTTTTGCTTGGCACAGCAGTCAGTATCCATTTCTACGGTGGCCCTGAAGTGCAAGACACTACAGCATTTCAGAAAACGCCACAGCATTTCACAAAACACCACAGCATTTCAGAAAACACCACAGCATTTCACAAAACACTACAGCATTTCACAAAACACTACAGCATTTCAGAAAACGCCACAGCATTTCAGAAACGCCACAGCATTTCACAAAACACTACAGCATTTCACAAAACACTACAGCATTTCACAAAACACTACAGCATTTCACAAAACACTACAGCATTTCACAAAACACTACAGCATTTCAGAAAACACTACAGCATTTCAGAAAACACCACAGCATTTCACAAAACACTACAGCATTTCAGAAAACACTACAGCATTTCAGAAAACACCACAGCATTTCAGAAAACACTACAGCATTTCACAAAACACTACAGCATTTCACAAAACACCACAGCATTTCAGAAAACACTACAGCATTTCACAAAACACTACAGCATTTCAGAAAACACCACAGCATTTCAGAAAACACTACAGCATTTCACAAAACACTACAGCATTTCAGAAAACACCACAGCATTTCACAAAACACTACAGCATTTCACAAAACACTACAGCATTTCAGAAAACACTACAGCATTTCACAAAACACTACAGCATTTCAGAAAACACCACAGCATTTCACAAAACACTACAGCATTTCACAAAACGCCACAGCATTTCAGAAAACACTACAGCATTTCAGAAAACGCCACAGCATTTCACAAAACACTACAGCATTTCACAAAACGCCACAGCATTTCAGAAAACGCCACAGCATTTCACAAAACACTACAGCATTTCAGAAAACACTACAGCATTTCACAAAACACTACAGCATTTCACAAAACACTACAGCATTTCAGAAAACACCACAGCATTTCACAAAACACTACAGCATTTCAGAAAACGCCACAGCATTTCACAAAACACTACAGCATTTCACAAAA